TTGTTTTTAAAAGAGTGCCATTACCTGATTTGTGGGTTAGGTGGAAATGGGTGCGGGGCCTGGGCCGAGCTGGCCCCTGGGCAGGGTAAGGGGGTGGACTCTGCTCTTCGTCCCCTGAGAAGCTGCTCCTCCTCCTGCCTGCCTGACTGAAGGGCCGTCGACCAACAGGAATCTTCCTCTCTAAACACCAAGCCAGACGCGGGTAAGCTACCAGGGGCTCATTACAAATATGGGATGACTTTACGTTTAGATGACTTAGCAGAAAGGAATGATCAGACAGCAGGTTTTATTTAACTTCATAGTGCTAACACTGATATGCCCATCTGAATAAGCCCCTGGTAAGCTGTACTCTGAGTGCTAGACACAAGTAAGCAGATGCACAATTAGCATGATATCATATTTATGCCATATGTGGCAAGCCATACAATACATAATCACAAGCAAATGATAGTATTTCATAGTTGCACAACAGAAGTCCTGGTGCACAAATTTAACACTGCATTGAGCTGAAAATAAAGTTTATGAATCAACAATAACTAAGGATGGACCAATCCAACTTTTCCAGTTCTAACACAGTATTTTTGGGAGCAGAATTCAACCTTGCTTGGTGGGTGTAGCAGTGCACCCCGCTGCACTGTACAAGTTGTACAAGGTGACTCTGCTCTCAGACAAATTTCCCATAGGATAACATCCCTGTGCCCTACATGCAAGGGCTTGAAAAGACTATGTGGGAGTGAAACAATAATTATAATTTGCTTGTGACTATGATTTATCATGGTTGTGACATATGACATAATTATGAATCCACGGTAAGCTACCAAGATGAATGCTACAGGAACTGTCAGTATTTAAAATAATAACTTTTCCTGTTCCATCTGAGCATCCATGAAGTATGGCAAAGCCATACTTGAAGAGTATCCAGTGCTGATATTGCTGATTTGCTAAAATCTGCAGTTTCTCAAACAACTACTTGAAGCAAACTCCAAAAGGAAGTCAATCCCCATAGACTTCCATAAAAATGTAAAATCTACAGCAGAAATAAACATGTTCACAGCCTTGTATTTAAAAAAAGAAAGAAAGAAAAAAAAAGCAGGTGTTGCTCTAACTAATTCATGACAATTTTTGGGGTGTGGGAGGGGAGTTAGAGAACTTACCTGGTGAGACTGTATTAAAGCTTAAAGTTATGAACAATATTTTACACAATATCTCAATTCCTTTGGGTCACTTGGTGTTCGCACTTCCTGCAGTAGAGTATCGCTTCCTGGTCCAACACATAGTGGTGTTTTTGTGTAGCGATTTAATTAAAAACTTATAGATAACGTCTTATTTCATAGTGTAATCGTCACATGCTTCATCCGAAGCAAACTCACTGTGTCTTTAGGGATTCCCCAGCTTAGCTCGCAGCCGACTTAACAGCAGGGCCTCTTCACCTGTCCCACCTACACTTTCCTGCTCATTGTGTCAGATGTTTAGTTATTCCTTGGCCTCCTTTAGTAATAATTATTCTTAAAAATAAATATAGCCTATTTGCCAGACCAGGATCACTGAATTGGAGACTGTTTTGCACCCTTGAAATACTTTTAGCTAGCCCAGCCCCTGTAGCTGGTGCAGCCGAAGGTGTAGTTAGTGTAGTTAGCTCTCCCCAAGCAGCCGGGAAAACAGGATGGCTGGGTGACGGTGATGAGTAGGGATGGGTACCGATGGCACCGGTTCTGACATAAACGGTAGTAACCAGACCAAAAAGCAG